ATCAGTTCTTTTTTTTTTTTTTTTTTTTTGAGTTGGAGTCTCACTCTGTCACCTAGACTGGAGTGCAGTGGCTGCCCCTGGCCACAGCAGCCTCGACCTGCTGGGCTCCAGTGATCCTTCCGCCTCAGTCTTCCAAGTAGCTGGAACTACAGGCATATGCTACCATACCCAGCTAATTTTTGATTTATTGTAGTGATAAGGTCTCGCTAAGTTGCCCAGGCAGGTCTCGAACCCGTGGGCTCAGGCAATCCACTCACCTCGGCCTCCCAAAGTGCTGGGATTATAGGCTGAACACCGAGCCCGGCCGGGATCAGTTCCTGAATATCCTTCTAGAAATATTCTATGGGAATTTGAGCACTTTCGTGTAATTTGGCCCAAATGGGAGCTTTTGAACTACACAGCTTTGCACTTTTTTTTTTTACACTTGACTTACTTCTTGGGTCTTTTCAACAACATAGATTGATAGGCCTCACTTTGTAAAAATAGCTGCATAGTATATTTCAGAGTGACTAGCCTTATTTAATTAGTCTTCTGCTAATGAACATTTAAGGTATTCCCCTAAATGTTATCACAAAGTTTGATGCACTAACATTCTTCTAGTCTCAGTTTTGCTACAGAAATGGAAAAAGAAATCTGTGGTGTGAATTCTGAAGTGTACCACTGCTTCAAAGGGTATATACATTTAACTTTTTGGTAAGTATGATCAAGTCATCTTCCCAAGGGGTTGTACTGATTTACGCTAAATGTGAGGCCTCATTTTTGTTTTTCCATTTTTGATCTTTGAAAAATTATTTGAAACCAGGCACAGTGGCTCACTTCTGTAATCCCAGCACTTTGGGAGGCAGAAGCGAGAGGATTGCCTGAACCCAGGGATTTGTGACCAGCCTGGACAACGTGGCAAGACCTTGTCTTTATAATAAATCAAAAAAGTAGCCGGGGTAGTGGTGCACTCCTGTAGTTCCAGTTACTTGGTAGGCTGAAGTGGAAGGATCACCTAAGCCCAGCACGTTGATCAAGACTGCAGTGGCCATGAGCATGTCACTGCACTCCAGCCTGGGCAAGAATGAGACTCCT